GCACACCTGTAATCCCAGCTACTCAGGAGGCTGAGGCAGTAGAATCACTTGAACCTGTAGGTGGAGGTTGCAGTGAGCCGAGACCATACCACCACACTCCAGCCTGAGCAACAGAGAGAGACTCCATCTCCAAAAACAAAAAAAAGAGAGAAAGAGTTTATAAGAACAACCTCCTATTCTTACTTTAATCAACCAATCTTAGCAATGATAGAAAGATCATACCTTACAAGGTGAGCTTTTGACTAAATGACAACACGATCTCCCAGCAGGAGATCTTGGCCCATGGACACGGAAATACTTATTGGCTACAGGAAAAAGAGGAGACTCGGAATTACATAGACTCTCCAACTTTTCACCAAATTCTCACTACACCGAGATTTGTTACATCTTCTGCAATGTAGCCACTACACTGTCTTCTTCAAATAGCTGATTGCATCATTATTTCTGTAAGAATCATTACGGTACCCTTTAATCCAGTTTTGCTTGCCACTCACCTAGTATTTTAACTTCAACATCACCTGTAGCCATCCCTGGAATAACTAGTTTACTTGCTTATCCCAGCACTTTGGGAGGCCAAGGCAGGTGGATCACGAGGTCAAGAGATCGATACCATCCTGGTCAACATGTTGAAACCCCGTCTCTACTCAAAACACAAAAAAATTAGCTGGACATGGTGGCATGTGCCTATAATCCCAGCTACTCAGGAGGCTGAGGCAGGAGAATTGCCTGAACCCAGGAGGCGGAGGTTGCGGTGAGCCGAGATCGCGCCATTGCACTCCAGCCTGGGTAACTAGAGCAAAACTCCGTCTCAAAAAAAAAACAACAACCTGGGGCTGGGTGCAGTGGCTCATGCCTGTAATCCCAAAACTTTGGGAGGCTGAGGCGAATCACAAGGTCAGGAGGTCGAGACCAGCCAGGCCAATATGGTGAGACCCTGTCTCTACTAAAAATACAAAAATTAGCTGGGTTTGGTGGCGGACACCTGTAGTCTCAGCTACTCAGGAGGCTGAGGCAGAATTGCTTGATTCTGGCCGATCAGGCTCAGAACGAACGTCAGACCAGCCCTGGTAGAATCTAGGTGCCACAGCCAGGTTTCTGGTCCTTACATTTGTGAACTAAATGCAGCATTAGGAACCATTCGAGGCTTAGCTGAACCTCCAGACTCCAAGGACGGCGGTGGTCTGGCTTGGCTACTAACCTGTTATATAAGTCGTATTGCTTAACTGCTTAATGAGAGAGGAGAAAACAAATATTTTGCTTGATACATACTGCTGCTAAAAGCAACTCTCTACTATGCTGCTTAAGGAAGAGTTTAAGTTGAAACTTACCCGTTGAGTATTGTCAGTCGTTACAGTGTGTTTAATTAGATACATATTACAGATCTGATACTTAATATCAAACATTGACACAAATAGACTAAAATAGTTAATTCTTTTTTTGTAGTGATAGGGTCTTTCTATGTTGCTGGTCTCAAACTCCTGGCCTCATGCCATCCTCCCACTTTGGCCTCCCAAAGCGCTGGGATTATAGGTGTGAGCACATGCATGCAGCCTAAAATATTTTAGAATATAAAAGGGATAGGCCAAGTTTGGTGGCTCATGCCTGTAATGCCAGCACTTTGTGAGGCAGAGGCGGGGGGATCACCTGAGGTCAGGAGTTCAAGACCAGCCGGCAAACGTGGTGAAACTTGGTCTCTAATAAAAATACAAAAATTGGCCGGGCATAGTGACTGATGCCTATAATCCAAGCACTTTGGAGGCCAAGGCAGGCGGATCACCTGAGGTCAGGAGTTCAAGACCAGCCTGACCAACATGGTGAAACCCCATCTTAAAAAAAAAAAAAAAAAAAAAAAGAATATGAAAGGGATATAACAGATACCTACCCCTACTCCTAAAGCCACGAGAAAAATTCCCGAACCTCGAATACATCGCCAACTCATACCTAAAATCACATATGCTAAATTCACATTGGATGGCAAACAGTATATGCAACTACCTTTATTTATTTATTTATTTATTTATTTAATTTTTTTGAGACAGTCATAAGGCTAGAGTGCAATGGCATGATCTTGGCTCACTGCAACCTCTGCCTCCTGGGTTCAAGCAATTCTAATTCTCCTGCCTCCGCCTCCCGAGTAGCTGAGATTACAGGTGTGCACCACCATGCCTGGCTAATTTTTTTCTGAATTTTTAGTAGAGACATGTTTTGCCATACTGGTCAGGCTGGTCTTGAACTCCTGACCTCAGGTGATCTGCCCACCTCGGCCTCCCAAAGTGCTGGGATTACCAGTGTGAGCCACCTTGACCAGCCTACAGTTTTATTTCTTAAGAGCAAGGTTTGATTTTAAACACAAACTTAACTCCCACGTGTCAACTACCACTTCCATACTCTCCTCTATCTCACAGACACTTAATGAAATACAATCAATGATGACTCATATATGTGACCTCACAGAATATCAAAAGATGTTTAATTATAATACCAATGACAAGGTAGGCATCTTAAAAACCAATCTATTTACATTAAGAAACTTGATGATGAAAGACTGACTGCAAGCCGAGCACGGTGGCTCACACCTGTAATCCCAGCACTTTGGGAGGCCGAGGCGGGTGGATCACGAGGTCAAGAGATCGAGACCATCCTGGTCAATGAGGTGAAACCCCATCTCTACTAAAAATACAAAAATTAGCTGGGCATGGTGGTGCGAGCCTGTAATCCCAGCTACTCAGGAGGTTGAGGCAGGAGAATTGCTTGAACCCAGAAGGCGGAGGTTGCAGTGAGCCGAGATCGTGCCATTGCACTCCAGTCTGGGTAACAACAGCGAAACTCCATCTCAAAAAAAAAAAACAAAAACAAAGAAACACAACACAATCAGGAAAATTATTTACAAAGCATTGGCATACAGCAGCTATGGTTCAACTGGATACATCCAAACCATCAGGATGTGAAGAGTCAAGGCAATGTATATTAAGCCTACTTGAATTAAGACAAGGAGACTTACTACTAGCTTTTGACCAAAGCGCAGCTACAGATAAATGATCTACAAATACCCACCTTAGAAAAACCAGTATTTATGGATGAGATTTTACACAAAAATCATTAGTATTCCAAAAACAAACAAACAAACAAAAATTAGTATTCTAATGATGAAACGCTATATACTACGTCTTTCAGGATATGGTACCCAAACTACATACTCACCTAACAGTCTCAAAAAAATACCCACAATCAGTCAGGTGCGGTGGCTCATGCCTGTAATCCCAGCACTTTGGGAGCCTGAGGCAAGTGGATCACCTGAGGTCAGGAGTTCAAGACCAGCCTGGCTAAGATGCTGAAACCCCATCTCTACTAAAAAATACAAGCCTTGCCGGGCGCGGTGGCTCAGGCCTGTAATCCCAGCACTTTGGGAGGCCGAGGCGGGTGGTTCACCAGGTCAAGAGATCGAGACCATCCTGGTCAACATGGTGAAACCCCGTCTCTACTAAAAATACAAAAAAATTATCTGGGTATGGTGGCGCATGCCTGTAATCCCAGCCACTCAGGAGGCTGAGGCAGGAGAATTGCCTGAACCCAGGAGGCAGAGGTTGTGGTGAGCCAAGATCTCGCCATTGCAGTCCAGCCCGGGTAACAAGAGCGAAACTCCGTCTCAAAAAAAAAAAAGCAAGACTTAACCAGGTGTTGTTGCAGGCATTTGTAATCCCAGCTATTCAGGATTCTGCTGACGCAGAATTGCTTGAACCACGGAGGCAGAGGTTGCAGTGAGCTGTGATCATGCCATTGCACTTCAGCCTGAGTGACAGAGAGAATCTCCATCTCAAACAAAAAAACAAAAACCCCAAAATGACTCTAGACTTAGGAAACTTCCACAGGATAACTGCTCAGAGAAAAACACCCTGACCTATTACAACCACACGTGGAAAGAAAATCACAACATATTCTTACAATCGGAATGTATCAAAATGGTATATGTCATAAACATCACTCTCACAAACACCTCAAAACTAACCACTTACATAAAAGAAACGACATCCAGAGATTTTCCATCATCATGGCACTCCAACATAGGAGAAATCCCTTGTATAGAAACCACGCAGATAAACACACACAAACAAGAAAATTTAAAAGAACCTGAACAAGCTCACAAGAAACTCCATCCACAAACCAAAGAAACTAAAAATCGTACACATTCACACAAGGGAACAAAATTACCTGGAGCGAAAAGAGACTAGAATTAAGGGTGGCTAGAATTAATATTTTATCAAGGCGTCTAAAGGGAAGAAACTCAAACTTTCTGATCAGTTAAGATAAGGAGTCCCCTTCCCCGCAGTTCAAAAAGAAAGCCCACATGCAGGTCAAAAACACTCCCAGGCTTAAGTGCTGGGAGCACTAGAGGGGGTCAGTCCCTGGTTCCCTGGTGATGAGGGCAGGGGCATCTGAGCAGCCACAGGAACCTCTGGGAGCTCCTCTTGTCCTCCTGACCCTGGCAGGCTTCGGTTCCCACAAGTGAGGAGACCCCAGGACCTCCCCAGGCTTCAGTTCTCACAAGTGAGGAAACGCGCCCGTGGATTCATCGTTAGGTTTCCAGCCAAGTGGATTCTTAAACGCACAGACTGAGATGGGATCTCCCCAAGACCCTCCCGCTGTCACCGGACAATCCGGGGAGACGCGGGGCTGCGGGCGCGGAGCTGTCCAGTGAGGGGCTCCAGGGCCGGGGGCCGAGGTCGCGGCGGGACAGGACAGGGGATCCCGGGGACGGGACAGGACAGGGGATCCCGGGGACGGGACAGGACAGGGGATCCCGGGGACGGGACAGGACAAGGGATCCCGGGGACGGGACAGGACGCTGGGGATCCCGGCTGCCGGTCCAGCCGAGGCCGATCGGCGCCCGAAGTGGCCCCGAGTCTGCAGACCCCGGAGTTGACTGCAAGGAGGTCCCCGGCCTCGGCCACAGACGGTTCCAACGAGAAACCTTCCCTCGGTCACAGGCCCCGCACACTCACCATTTCCCAGCGTTCGGGAAGTCCCGGTGTCCTCCCTACTGATGTCAGTATCTACAGGTCACGGCGCGACAAAGGATGCACCAGAGCCACCTACAGCCCTCAGGAGCAGGTGAGACGCAGTTTTACCACGGGCCAGGAATGGCGACGTCCGCAATACGCATGCGCAACGTGGCCCCGCCCTTTTGTCACTGAGTGACAGCCGAGCAGAAAGAGGCGTGGTTGAGCTGGCCAGGCTTCAGTCAGCCTTGTCTCTGCCAGGACTTTTGCATTTCAGCCAAATGTTTTATTTGCCTCCCATCCATTTCATGTGTTCTCTTCAGTACTGTTACGTACATTCACATTGTGAAACCAATTTCCAGAATTGTTTTCATCTTGCAAAACTGAAACTCCGTCTCGTTACACAACTCTCTGTGCACCCCTTCCCTCAGGGTCTTTTGCAACCTCCATTCCACTTTCTGAATCGGCGAATTTGACTGTGGGAATTTCTTTTCTTTTTTCTGGAGACGGAGTATCGCTCTCGTTACCCAGGCTGGAGTGCAATGGCGCGATCTCGGCTCACCGCAACCTCCGCCTCCTGGGTTCAGGCAATTCTCCTGCCTCAGCCTCCTGAGTAGCTGGGACTACAGGCACGCGCCACCATGCCCAGCTAATTTTTTGTATTTTTAGTAGAGACGGGGTTTCACCATGTTGACCAGGATGGTCTTGATCTCTTGACCTCGTGATCCACCCGCCTCGGCCTCCCAAAGTGCTGGGATTACAGGCGTGAGCCGCTGCACCCGGCGACTGTGGGAATTTCGTGTAAATGGCATCATTAAGTATTTTTCCTTTTCTGACAGGCTTATTTCATTTAGCATAATGTCATCGACTTTCACCCTGTAGTATGTATCAGGATTTGTTTCTTCTTCCTCCTCCTTCTTCCTCCTCCTCCTCCTCCTTCTTCTTCTTCCTCCTCCTCCTCCTGATTCTTCTGACTGGAGTCTCCCTCTGTCGCCAAGGCTGGAGTGCAGTAGCACGATCTCGGCTCACTGCAACCTTTGCCTCCCCCGTTCAAGTGATTCTCGTGCCTCAGCCTCCTGAGCAGCTGGGATTATAGGCTCACGCCACTACATCCAGCTAATTTTTTTTTTTTAGTAGAGATGGGGTTTCACTATATTGGTCAGACTGGTCTCAAACTCCCAACCTCAGGTGATCTGCCTGCCTCGGCCTCCCAAAGTGCTGGGATTACAGGCTTGAGCCACCTCACCCAGCCTTCTTCTTCATTTTTTTTTTTTTTTTAAAGAGACAGGGTTTTGCTCTGTTGCCCAGGCTGGAGTGTAGTGGCGTGATCATAGTTCGCTGCAGCCTTCAACTCCCGGACTCAAGCAAGCCTCCTACTTGAGCCTTCTAAGTAGTTTGGACTACAAGGACGCACCACCAAGCCTGGCTAATTAATTGTTTTATTTTTAATTTTTATTTTTTGTAGAGATGTGAGTCTCCTTATGTTGCCCAGGCTGGTCTTGAACTCCTGGGCTCAAGTGATCCTCCTGCCTCAAACTCTCAAAGTGCTGGGATTACAGGTGTCAGCCACTGCCATCAGCCAATTTACTTTTTCTTTTGAGATGGACTGGGTGCTTGTTACCCAGGCTGGCATGCAATAGTGTGGTCTTGGCTCACTGCACTCCACCTCCTGGGCTCAAGCAATCGTCATGCCTCAGCCTCCTGAGTAGCTGGGATCACAGGCATGTGACACTATGCCCAGCTAATTTTCATAATTTTAGTAGAGATGGGGTTTCACCATGTTGCCCAGGCTAGTCTCGAACTCCTGGGGTCAAGCATTCTGCCCACCTTGGCCTCCAAAAGTCCTAGGATTACAGGCATGAGCCACCACACCTGGCCTTATTTATCCTTTCATAGACACTTAGGTTGCTTCCGCCTTTCATAATATGCCTATAAATATGGATGAACAAATATATAAGTTGCTGCCTTCAGGCTTTTTTTTTTTTAGATTATAGAAACTTCCTCTTTAATCAAGGCTTTTAACATGATCAGATTTCTTGAATAAAAGTGTCCAGTTCACTGAAACGTAAATCCACACGTCACCCTCCATACAACACCCGGCAGGAAAAACAAAAACAGCAAGTTTACACGATCCCTGTAACAGCCATGGTCTTAATTTCAGATGTTTCCTCCATCTGCCAAGTGTGTTCTGGAAACAGAGTACACCGTGGCTTCTGGGGTCACACCCAGCTGAAGCTGTGGGTCCACAGATCACTCATCAGGCTGAACTATGGGGGTGGTAACTCTACTCGAGAAGCAAAGCAGTTACCAGCACATTCACACAGTGTATTGAACATCTTTTAAATATCAAAGCGAGAAACAAGAAGGCAGCATGATGTCATCAGAAAGATGTCAGGAAGTAAGGACAGCTGTGTAAAGCTTGAGGCTGAAAAGTGGCTTGCCAGCTTCATTTCTTCCGCTTCTTGGGTAGTGGGCGCCAGAACATTAAGATGTGAGGTTCTGGTTCATGGATCATATAATGGACCCATTCCTGATTCTGCTGAGCGCCAAGATTCCTCCATTCAGATTCAGACATCAAATGGGTTTTAGGGACTGGCTCGGCTATGTCCTTGGGCAACATGGAACGCCGATACTCAAACTCCTCATCGTCGGATTTCTCTGATTCGCAAGTTTGGTTGTACGACGTGATCGCTCCGTCTGCTAGCCTTGAGCCCCGTGCCGCCAACCTCCAAGCAACTCCGCTGCTTTCGGTTTTTTAGGGTATGCTCAGAAGCGGACTTCCTGCATCATATGATTACTTTGTATTTATTATTTATTTAAGGAATGGCCGTACCCTTTTTCCTAGCAGCCATAGCATTTTTCATTCGCACCAACGGTGCGCAAGAATCCCAAAAGATGTTTTCACTTTTTGGATGGTGTCCTTCAAACCACAAAAGTTATCAATTTTGCCGGCCATGGAGGTGCATGCCTGTAGTTCCACCACTTTGGAAGGCTGAGGTGGGAGGATTGCTTGAGGCCAAAAGTTTGAGACCAGCCAGAGCAACATTCCGAGACCCTACAAAAAGAAAAAATGTTAGCCAATTTAGGAACACCTGTAGTCCCAGCTACTCAGGAGGCTGAGGCAGGAGGATCACTTGAGGCTGGGAGGTTGAGGCTGCAGTGAGCCATGATCGCGCCATTGCACTCTAGCCTGGGTGACAGAGCAAGACCCTCTCTCTCACACACACACACACAAAGATTCATTCGCTACTAGGCATTGATATTTTATTTACTTATTTATGGTTTTATTTTTTTGAGACAGGATCATGCTCTGAGATCACACCCGAGAAGAGACTTACAGCAAGGTTAGCCAACTCTTAGAGTGAGGCAAGACCAGCTCTCCAACTCAGCCTTTTTCTCTGTCGGGGTTTTTCTCTGACACTACTGAACTACTGGTAATACCCTCCTCACCAGTTTCTCTCGCTCTCTCTTGCTTTTTTTTTTTTTTTTTTTGAGACGAAGTTTCGCTCTTGTAACCCAGGCTGGAGTGCAATGGCGTGATCTCGGCTCACCGCAACCTCCGCCTCCTGGGTTCAGGCAATTCTCCTGCCTCAGCCTCCTGAGTAGCTGGGATTACAGGCACACACCACCATGCCCAGCTAATTTTTTGCATTTTTAGTAGAGACGGGGTTTCACCATATTGACCAGGATGGTCTCAGTCTCTTGACCTCGTGATCCACCCACCTCAGCCTCCCAAAGTGCTGGGATTACAGGCGTGAGCCACTGCGCCCAGCCTGTCTCTCTTGCTTTTTTTTGAAACAGAGTCTCGCTCTGTTGGCTCGCAGCAACCTCTGCCTCCTGGGTTTAAGCAATTCTCCTGCCTCAGCCTCCCAAGTAGCTAGGATCACAGGCACGTGCCACCAGGCCCAGCTGATTTTTGTATTTTTAGCAGAGACGGGGTTTTCCCATGTTGGCCAGGCTGGTCTCGAACTCCTGACCTCAAGTGATCTACCCACCTTGGCCTCCGAAAGTGCTGGGATTACAGGCATGAGCCACTTCGCCTAGCCCCAAATGATGACTTTCTTATTCTTTCATTCTTTCAATGTGGATAAAGAACTAAAACAAAACGAAACCAACGAAGAGGGGAGAAGAGAAAACATGTTACTTTGTGACAGGGCATGGTGGTTCACACCTACAATCCCAGCATTTTGGGAGGCCAAGGCGGGTGGATCACCTGAAGTCGAGAGTTTGAGACCAACCTGACGAACATGGAGAAACCCCATCTCTACTAAAAATACAAAAATTAGCTGAGCATGGTGGCATATGCTCGTAATCCCAGCTCCTCAGGAGGCTGAGGCAGGAGAATTGCTTGAACCTGGGAGGCGGAGGTTGTGGTGAGCCGAGATCGCGCCATTGCACTCCAGCCTGGGCAACAAGAGTGAAACTCCGTTTCAAAAAAAAACACAGTAGGCCGGGCGTGGTGGCTCAAGCCTATAATCCCAGCACTTTGGGAGGCCGAGGCGGGTGGATCACGAGGTCAAGAGATCGAGACTATCCTGGTCAACATGGTGAAACCCCATCTCTACTAAAAATACAAAAAATTATCTGGGCATGGTGGCGCGTGCCTGTAATCCCAGCTCCTCAGGAGGCTGAGGCAGGAGAATTGCTTGAACCCAGAAGGTGGAGGTTGAGGTGAGCCAAGATCGTGCCATTGCACTCCAGTCTGAGTAACAACAACGAAACTCCGTCTAAAAAAAAAAAAAGCTGGGCGCGGTGGCTCACACCTGTAATCCCAGCACTTTGGGAGGCTGAGGCAGGTGGACCACGAGGTCAAGAGATCGAGACCATCCTGGTCAACATGGTGAAACCCATCTTTACTAAAAATACAAAAAATTAGCTGGGCATGGTGGTGTGTGTCTGTAATCCCAGCTACTCAGGAGGCTGAGGCAGGAGAATTGCCTGAACCCAGGAGGCGGAGGTTGCGGTGAGCTGAGATCGTGCCATTGCACCCCAGCCTGGGTAACAAGAGGGAAACTCTGTGTCAAAAAAAAAAAAAAAAAAAAAAGCAGGGGTGGAAAGTACCCTCTACCCACTGAAACGCCTTCGAGGCCCCAGTGGGAAGAACTGCTGCCCATCTGCTCAGGTATGGTGCAACTAGCAAAGGGTGTCCTGGCTGCCTGGGGAGAGTCTGTGTGTGGGGCCTGGGGGGTCTGGGGCTGGTTACCCTGGTGCCTCTACTGTGTCTCGAGATCCAGTTTCTGCCGGAAGGCCCCTGGGAGACCCAGCGGAATGGGGAGCCTGGTCCAACAAACATCTCTTTGTTCTTCTGGCTCCAAGGCTCAGGAATAGGGCCAGGTGGTATGTCCAGGTGGTGTGTCCAGGTGGTGTGTCCACGTGGCATGTCCAGGTAAAATATCCATGTGGTGCCAGGACCCCTCACTGTTCCCTTGGCGATGGGGCCAGAAAGCCTTGTGGGGGCACCTGAAGCCTGAGGTCACCTGTCCCTCCCTGTGTCCTACAGGAGGAGCCCTGTCCTGAGAAGACCTCTGGGGGCTGGCCTGCAGGTGCAGCCACAGGAAAGGGAGGGTCTGTGGGCTGAGTGGCGGGGGCACTGGTAGAGGACTGGGCACTGCGTCTCAGGGGTCTGATCAGTGGGGACCTTGTCATTACGAACCTGGTCAGGGGCTGGGTGTGGTGGCTCATGCCTGTAATCCCAGCACTTTGGGAGACCTAAGTGGGAGGATCGCTTGAGTTCAAGTGTTCTAGACCAATCTGGGCAACATGGAGACACCCCGTCTCTACTGAAAATACAAACGTTAGCCAGGTGTGGTGGTGTGCACCTATAGTCCCAGCTACTCAGGAGGCTGAGGTGGGAGAATCACTTGAGCGATTCTTGAGGTCAAGTCTGCAGTGAGCCAAGATCGTGCTACTGCACTCCAGCCTGGGTGACAGAATGAGACCCTGTCTCAAAAAAAAAACTGTCCAAGAAATAAAGGAACCTGGTCAGGAAGGATTGGTCAACAGGGGTTTGGTCAGCCACGGCCTGGTCACTGGGGAACTGGTCAGTGGTACCCGGTCAGTGGGGACTGGGTCAGTGGGGCTTGATCAGTGGGGAACTGGGTCAGTGGGGCCTGGTTAGTTGGCTGCCATGTGACCTCAGGTAGGCAGTTTGTCCCTGAAGCCTCTTTGCCTCCACCCCGGAGTCACAGCCCCCCAGAGGTCTACTGGGAGGAGGAGGTGAGAAGCTGAGTTGAATCCAGGCCTGCCCCTGAGACCTAGTACTTTACACACTACCTGAGTCCCCCTGAGGGAGGGGCCCACTCTCTGCCCCCTGCCCTCATCCCCACTCTGTCTGCATCCTCAGGATGGTCCCACTTGGAGAGGGCAGAGACTGGAGAGCACCCATGGGTGCTCTCATGCTGACCATGGGCCCTGGGGTGACAGTGATGAGGATGTGGGTGTGCCTGTGAGTGGGGCAGCCAGGCCTGGCCTGAGAAGTGACAGACACACTCACACATGTGTTCACCTGCAAGGGATGCTCCCTTGCAGACATATCACACCTACTCGGGTTGACAGTTCAGGGGATGGAGGGTGCAGACTCTGGGCCCTGTGTGGGTGCCATGACCCCAAAATGTCACAATACCAAATGCCTACCTGTCTGCCTCTGGGTCATGCAACAGTCAGAGACACAGTGGTGTCTGTGAGCATTGTGCATGTAGGACCCTTTTCTAGGCAAGAAGCACATCTCAGAACAGCTGTCTGATCTGACTCAGGAGAGTGGGACCTGCTCTCTTCCCTCCCTGCTGACTTGGGGACAGTCACTGCCTGGTGGGTGATGCTGGTCTCTGGGCAGCTGCCAATGACGGTCATTTCTGGGCACTCAGTAGTGCTTGCTCTGTGCTGACCATGTACACGGTTGTCTTGTTCATCCTGGTGGTGACTCCAGGGGGTGAGTGCTGTCCCTGAGTGTACCCATTCGACAGGTGAGACTTCTGAGGTTAGAGGGGCAGTCACAGGTCTGGGGACCCAGATATGACCCTGGTACATGCTCTCAGCCCTGCCCTGTATGGGACTCAATCCCTGACATTGTGCCCCCTACATTCTAGATCCCAAATCTTTCCAAAATTTTTCATGGCAATAGGGTAGAGCCTGGCCTTGGAAGAGCCCCTATGGGTGGGGTGGAAGGCGGTCTTCCATCCAACTCTGTGCCCTCAGGTGGGTCCCTGCAAAGAGATCTCATCAACCCAGACTTCAGGTACAGTCAGTGAAGGTCACTGTGGGACACACTGGACACACGGGGTCTCTTGTCTGGGAGTGGAGTGGGGAGCCCTCTGTCCTTGGGCAGTTGTGGAAAATGAAGGCACCTAGAAGGTTGGCTGGAGAGTGATGATTGTTCCTCTTCGCTGGGGAGTGGGGCTCTTCCCCATGAGGCCCTTTGTCTGTTCCTCTACAGGCCTCGCCCTTTCTTTGCTCTGAATGTTCATGGGAGGTGTTGGAAACAGATGCTCTTTGCTGCAAAGAAAAATCAGCACCGAGACAAAGGATCTCTCAGCAAAGCAATTTTTACTTCTGGCAGGAAGGGTACCCTCGCCAGCCATCTTGCCATGAGAGTACAATGAACAAAGGAAAAGCAGACATATTTATCCCTTACGCATTTGGGGTTGTCCTTACTGCTGTGTTTGATCTCTGTTGGTTGGAGCCAGACCTCACAATCTAAACTAAAACCCGATTGGCTAACAACTTAAAAGTTTTCTAAGCAGGTAAAGGCAGTGGAGAAGTTTAAATAACAGGCATAGGCTGAGAGCTGGGACGTGCCTTTGAGCACATCTAGCACACATATCTTGGCTAAAAGGACAAGGACATAGAATGTACTACGTGCCTGTAAGCACATCTAACAGCTACATAGGATAGGGCTTAATAGTTATTAGCAAAAAGCAGGAAGGATTTATTCTTTAACAAGAAAGAAAATGTGTTTTTTGAGACGGAGTTTCGCTCTTGTTACCCAGACTGGAGTGCAATGGCGCGATCTTGGCTCACCGTGACCTCCGCCCACCACAACCTCCACCTCTTGGGTTCAGGCAATTCTCCTGCCTCAGCCTCCCGAGTAGCTGGGATTACAGGCACACGCCACCATGCCCAGCTAATTTTTTGTATTTTTAGTAGCGACGGGGTTTCACTATGATGACCAAGATGGTCTCGATCTTTTGACCTCGTGATCCACCCGCCTCGGCCTCCCAAAGTGCTGGGATTACAGGCTTGAGCCACCACGTAGCTCAATAAAAAGTTTGGAAGAGGAACTTTTCTACTTCCCACAGGAGGGGACCTCCTGGGGTTCTCCAGGACCAAGTCCTCAGAGTTCTCATTCTTTCTCAATGTCCCTGGAACACAAGGTTCCTTCCTGTATTGACAGCTCAGAATGTGGGATCCACTGTCCCTTCACCTGAGACATCCTATGAGCAGAGAGGCTGCATTGGCCCCAAACCAAGTACACTCCCATTTGGCTGGTGTTATTCTTGAAGCAGTTTCACTGGCCAGAGGGAATAGAGATGGGGGTGAGATGGAGGGAGACGAGGTATCTTGTTCCTGGGAGGAAACTGGGCCTCTTCATGGTCCGTGTGCGATCCCAGGAGGCTGAGCATATGGAGCTCTCTGGTCCCTGCCTCCAGGTGCCCGGAATTGGGCATCATGGGCCCCTCACCCTTGGTAGATGGACACCGTTCCTCCCATTTGTGCCCGATTCAGGCCATTTGGGGACAACGGGCCTCTGTGTCCAGGTCCCCCTGTTCTCAAGTCCTCAGGAAGAAGCCCACCTCTGGTTGGGGCAGCCCCACTGCGCAGCCTAAGCCCCTGCTCTACAGGACCCTAGTGGTCCCTACCCACCACACACCCCTCTTCTCCCAAGTCCCATCCCACTCACAGGCGTCAGCCCACAGAGAGAACCTCTTCCTACCCTCCCTGTGAGTCTCCTGGACTAAGACCTGTGGTGGGGGGCAGTGGGGGCGTGAAAGGAACAGGACTGATCCTTCCCTAGGACCCACTTGAGGAGGAGGAGGACAGGTAGCTCCCGGCCTGGGGCAGGTCCTCAGCTCTGCTTGGGTTGCATTACAGTGAGACAAAGTTGCCACTCATCAGTGCCCTGGAAGCGAAGGTAAGAGCCTGACCTGCTGCCTGAGAGGCTGGTCCAGGGACAGGAGGACTCAGCGGGTGGTCAGAAGCCCGAGGGAGTCCTGAGGAGTGGGAACAGGCTGTCCCTGGCAGTGGCGGCAGTTCCTGCTGGACCTGACCCCAAGACTCTGTCCCTGTGCTGATTTGAGCAAACTCCACAAGCGGACAGCAGTCAAGGCTCGGGGGTCACTGCCTGCCGGCACCAAGACCCCACCCACAGGCTGGCACTTGGCCTAAGGATGCTGTCAAAGGTGCCTGTTCCGTCAGAGGGTCTCAGTCCCTGGGGCCTGCCCTTTCTTGGTTCTTTTTATGGTTCAGTCCCTTCAGGGCCTCCGAACCCAGGATAGAGCACCCAAGGGCTGCTCCTGGAAGCCTGGCAGCTCCTCTAACTCCGTGTCATCACAGTGGACTGTAAAGACATCAGAGGATGAGAGGTACAGAGAAATGGCTCCAAATGCTTCAAGACGGTCAGGAATACAGGAGTGGCAAGGAGGTGCTATGGGGAGGGAGGGCCCCCATGACCGTTCTCTGCAGAGACAGGGGGACGGACTCCCATGGCTGGGTCCTGGTACTGCCTGCCTCTCAGAGGGTGGGTGGCACACTGTCCTCGGCCGGGACAGGAGGTCTGAACAGCAACTTTCCTATTTGTCCCTGCAAACCGCATCTTGCTGGAGACTGTGTGATGCCAAGGTCTGGGCCAGCACTAGCTCAGGGACACTTCCTGGTGACCGGAAGGAAGGAATAGGTCAAGATCCCCATTCATAACTCTGAATTGTGGGAGGGGAGGTCTGGTCCTAGATAGACCCCACCTCTCCTGAAAAATCAACAAAGGCTGGAGATTTCTAGAATCCTCAGGCTCTGATCCTCCCTGGGGCTGCCCCAGGGCCTGTCTCTCCAGAGTGTTCTGTCCCAAGTTGGCTGGGAGACGGGACACATCTACCAAAATGTGTAGATTGGTAGATGTGTGGTCACACTTCTTGGAGGTCAAGAAGGTAAAGGCCGAGAACCGGTGGAAATACCAGGTAAGACTCTTCCGAAGTCAGCCAGAGCGGGACAAATTAGGCCAGTCCGTGTCTGGAGCCCAAGCCTCTAGCTGGAGGGAATGAGGAGCCTGGGTTGAAGGTGGGGGACGAAATAGAGTGAGATCCTTTTAGAAATGTGGTGACACCGGCACCACAGGTGACCTGAAATCCAGGGCTCGTAGGACTGTAAGGAAGCGAAGCAGAGGGGGAGGTTTCTGCGGAAGGAAACCTTCCTTCCCGAAGGGCTGTCGTGGATGACTGCTGCGTGGGGCAGCAAGTTTTCTGTTCAGAGGCTGCTTCCTTTTCTTGGCCTGGCCCTGGAGGTCATGCGGATGAAAGAGTTCCCTCGGGAACTTTCACCAGATCAACCTGGATGGCAGCCATACCCTGAGAAACCACATCATGTCCCAGCCACAGTATAGTGTCAAGTAAGGGCCTGCGGGGCTGGAGAGTCCCTGGGGAGATGGGGTGAACCAGAGGCATGGAGGCTTCACCAGAGCAGAGGCCGGTGTCACCCAGGAGGGGCGACAGAACCACCACAAGCTCTCCAGGGCCAAGAGACAGCTATCATAAACTGCGTGTCTGCCTGGCTCCAAGCCCTGAGCCTGGCTGTGACATGTGGGGCCAGAACCCAAGTGTCTCCCGAGGAGACAGCAGCGAACAAAATAGTGAGGAATGGTGGCAAGTGCTTTGACCCAAGGGAGGGCGGCAGGATGAGGGGCTCGGGAGACTTCCCAAGCAGTCAGTGACACCAAATGCCGGGAGGATGTGGGGCCCCAGGGACCCTCATTCCTACCCAGTAGGAATGTGACGGGACATAGCCACTCTGGAAGTCCATCTGACGGCTGCTCGGGAAAACTCAGTGACTTGTGCCACACGTCCCAGAAGAGTCTCAGAGGCTGAGCCAACTGATTTGAAAACCGATGGCCATGGAAAATCTGCATGCCACATTCACGGCTTGAATTTATCCTCCCTCACAGCTGAAGGCCACCAAGGCAACCTTCAACACGGGAATAGTAAAATCCACTTTTACCAAAACATTTCCTCAAACTCGGTAACCCTGAAGAGCTCATCAGCTCATTCAGCGCATCCTCTGGACCTGGAATCCCATTCGTTGTTGGAACGTAGCAGAGAGGACAAACCGGCATCTGTGTGAACCCAAAGCCTCTTTTCTCTTTCCTAGGCTGCTGAGCGCTTGTCATGTCTGAGTGGCGTGTTCTGCGTCTAACCCCATGAGTACTTGGGGGCAACGATATTCCCAGGTCACATTCCCATAGTCACAGGCCTGGGTGTCTCAGGTGAGGGCTGTCATTGCTTCATTAAAATTCAGTATCCAACACCTACCAAGATGGAGTGGGTACAACTCAAGCTCGCTGCTGACTTGGATATCCAAGCATGGCAGGGAGGGAGGGTCTCAGAGGTGTCACGCCGAGCTGGAGAGGGCTCAGGCACAGACTCCTGGTCTGATGGGAGCCTGACCCCTAGTCTCAGAACAAGTGATGCCCTCTTCCTGGGCTTGCCCTGAGGCCAAGGAGCCAGTCAGTATCCCAGAATGGTGCTCCCAGAAGCATTTTTGACAAGCTGCCATAGTGTCTGATGGATGTGGCTCTTGTCACGAAATGAGTATGGACCCCGCAGAAACTGTTTCTTCATAGGAAAACTGGCAGGGATCCAATGTCCCTGCCGCCTGAACCCCACTGGAGCACCGCAGACAGGGAGGGGATTCCTGAAGTGCCTGCTCCCACTGGGCCCCCGCTTTCCAGATCACTCCTGGAGGGACAGCCACTGAGTTGACTTCATGGGCTGTACACACAGGGTCTGGACCCAGTCGCCCTCTCGTACCTGGCAGGCAGCCCCTGGGTTTTACGAGGACCCTGTGTGTGGGGGTCAGTGCCCCCAGCTGGCCCTGTTGGCCAGCCTAGTTCACAGGTGCTGTCCCCAGCCTGGCATTGTGTCCTCCCTGGCCTGGCATCTGAGGGGAGGGACATCTATGGTCCTCTCCTATGTCCTCTCAGACCATGTGAGCTTAGGCATGACAGGGTCTCTTTGGACTCATTGTCAGCTGAGATGTGCATGACCTACTCAGCTCTAATGCTGTCAGGAGGGGGTGAAGAGGCAGCACCCCAAATCCCCTGGGGCTTGTGGCAGACCTCCCCAGTGACATCAGTCCTCTCAGGTGACCTCAGCCCTCCCAGGTGACATCCTTCCATGGTGACTCTGGCTCTTGCAGGAGCTGGGCTACTGCAGGAACACGAGCCACACTGCTGCCACTCTCTGCTATCTGCCTGGGAAAGACAGGTGCTGATGCTGCTGATCCAGCTGCCAGCCAGTAAGAGGCACTCCATGCAGGGCAGATGGACAGCTGCCCACAGGGACTCACACAGCCAGGCCCGAGGACGATCACCCTGGCCAGGTGATCCCAGCTTTCAGGCAAGGCGCCTTCCTTGTGTCCCCAGCTCATTTGGAGCCACTAGGATGTTGCCTGCTGTGGGTCAGCAGGGGGCTGGACAGGGACCCCCATACCCTGAGTTAGACGCCTCTCATCCCCAGCAGTAGAGAGCATCGCAACCTCCCTGCAGCCGCCTTCTGTGTCCTGGAGCCTCTGTCCTCCAACCCTGACTTTGAGCAGGCAATGCTCACCTCCGAGGGTCCTCCTGCCTCCTGGTGGCTGACTGTGCTCCCAGCCGCCCTCCCCATCCTTACACAGATAGACAAAACCCAGATGGTAATGCTTGATCACGTTTCCCAGCTTGACCCCATAAATATCCAGGAGACAGTAATGCACCCTGGGCACCTACCCCACTCACCCTGTGGCCCCCGCCTGCCACAGTCCTCCCTCTCAGCCTCCACAGCGGGCCTGTCCTCCTGGCACCGCAGTTCAGGGCACCACCAGGCAGCCCTCCAGCTGGGCTCCGGGGTATGTTGTTGCCTCTCCTCCCCTGGGCCGAGGCTGCATGCTGGAGTGGCCAAATGGGAGGGTGGGAGGCCTGGGGGACTGGCGGCCTCTGCCAGTGCCCAGCTCTGCTAGCTGACAGCTCCACATCTTGGGAGCAGGCTCTGATTTTGTTGCGGGCTCTTGGGATTCTACAGCTCAAATTGTGCCAGGCTACAGAGACTCTAAGCTCACCTGGAACACATGTTACATACATCATTCCCAAAGCTCATGGGGACTTGGTGAGGAGACAGTCCTCAGCTCTTCTCCAGTATCTTGGGGATGGCGGGGGGAGGTTCCGGCTCCTCACTGGGGGTGGGTGAGAGCTCTAGTCTCAGCAGAGGCCTGACCTGTGATGTGGGGTTCTCCATGGGATTGTAGTTGGGTTTCCTTTTTCTGGCAGAGGCTCTGGGACCCGGGCCAGGCTCTGGCTGAGCTGGGCTAAGGGAAGTGTGTCCACCAGGGGCCGATGTTGGGGGCAGGTGTGTTGCGGAGCCCCAGGCACTGCTCAGTGCCTGCTCCTCAGGGAAGGGCTGCAGAGGAGCCTGAAATAGGGACGCTGTGGGGGCAGACCAAGGGGCCCTGAGCGCCTCTGCTCCTCCCATCAGGACAAGGATGAGCTGCGTGCCCAGAATTCCACGTTTTCGCTGGCTCCTCTGGTCCTTTAAATGGGGTGATGAGGCACTGGAAGCTCCTAGCCTAGGGACCCTCCTGCTCCACATTACCTGGCTCCCCCAGCCCAGGGACCCTCCTGCTCCACACTACCTGGCTCCCCCAGCCCAGGGACCCTCCTGCTCCACACTGCCTGGCTACCCCAGCCCAGGGGTCCCATCCCCCAGGAGGACCTGGCTCACCCCCACCCAGCAGGAGGCACAGGTGGGTCCTGGCAGGGCACAGGAGCCAACAGTGCCTGAGAGGGGGCATACACCCTGCAGAGGCTGGGGCAGACTGGGCCAGGTGTCCACTTGGGAGAGCCCAGGGAAGTCTAAGGCCCTGGGGAGTCCCTCTTTCCAGGACCCACATCCCTGCTGAGTCCAGTCCTCACCATGAAAAACTGCAAGACCTCTTCTGACCCAGCCTCATGGTGGCAGCTCATCCCATGGGAGGGGTCCCTCGCACTCCAGGGGACTGAAACCACTGTGGGCCCAACTTGGGCTACTGGCTCCCAGCCTGGAAGGGCCAGGTCCTCTCACACCTACTGTCCCCACTGATCCTTTTCAGATTCAGCCTGGAGATGAAGGCAATAAGGGCGATGGTGCCCACAGCCTTCAAAGTTCACAGAAGTCCCTGCGTGCTCAAGGTTTCCTGGGGAGCTCACAGGACAGAGCTTGGCTGGCCTGAGGCCACTGTCCCCATGGCCCTCTGCTCCGGTCAGGAGGAATGCCAAGGCTGGCCAGGCCTGGCCTGTGGGGGTGGGCATGGCACAGCAAGTTCTCCCAGACCCTGAGCCCACCCTTGAAATGAATGACCGGTGAGAAAGGCAGAAATGTGGTGGGCACCTCCCTGTCCGGGCCTCCCCTGGCCACGTGGCCTCCTGTGCACAGCGGGACCCCCGGGGTAGCCACAGAAGGACCCAGTGCTGCCCAGTGGGAGGTGGCAGTGTAGGGAACCGGGTGTGCGCACAAACCCCTCCCAGGAACCCTTCCTGGCCTGATGCCCTCCCTGAACCTTGAGTGACCATGAACCTATCCCAGTCCAGCCTGCGGGAGGGAGTTCTTCCAGGGCCAGTTATCCCAGCCCTGGGACCTGTAGGACACCACGGTGCTCAGGCACATTTAGGCCTTTGTGGGGAAACTGATAAGGCATTGTTGGGAACTGCCATCCCCTGGTGGGATCCAGCACCAGGTTCCCTCCTGAGTCACCCTCTGGAGTGTTTGATAGTGGAAAGGACCCAGCCCCACCAGCCCTACTACTACTTGAGCCTTCCTTCTGCACCTCTTTTCTCCCTCTTCCTCTTCTACATTAAGTGGCTACTGGAAATTGGTCTGCCAGTCCTCCGGGCAGGTGCTGAGCACATGTATACTGGACATACTGCTCAGACAGGCAGGGGCTGGGGAAAGACCCCTCAACACCCCCTGTGCTTTTTACATCCTCTCCCCTCTGCGCCAGCTCCTTGAACCACCATCCCAACATCAACAAATGCAGGGAGAGGAGGAGGGCCCCCTTGCTCCAGAGTTCCACTCCAAGAACACCAGGGCAATAAGACTGGAGCCAGGGGAACAAGAGAATCAGTGTCTCTGACTCAGAGGATTCAGGGAGAGGACACAGACAGGAGCCCTGGCCAGAGCCAGATCCAAAGTTCACCAGCTGTTAGAAGGATCCAGTCCAGGCATGGAGTGGATGGCTCCGCAGGGCAGAGGGGGCCCTGTGCCCAGGACCGCCTTACCCACCTTGAAGACAGTGTCTCGTGTGAGGTGGCAAGGGGGCTAGGTGACAGCCAAGGCCTCTCCCACCTGGCTCTGAATCAGGGCTGCAACCCAGAACACACAGCCCTGGAATGAAGAGGTGAGGGAGGAAGCCCAGAGCCAGCCCGAATCCTAAGCAACCATCCCAGGAGCTACGTGAGATGCCCAGACAGTTCCCCCAACCCTGAAGGGTCCACACCCCCTTTGCTCTAAGATCAGCAGCCTGCAGGCGTGTCGTTAGAGTCAGACTAGAGAAGACAGAGTTAGACGTAGAAATCAGGGTCTGCCGACCAAGGTCTGTGGGGTCCAGTCCTGCAAAGACCTAATGGGCTTAGTGGAGAAGCTGACCATTCATGTCTGCTATTTTTTCAGCCAAACTTGAGCAAGGGTGCCTGGCACCCAGGCCTCTGTGAGCATCCCCCTCTGTGAGCCCCTCTGTAAGGGAGACAGGCTGGCCCACCCCTGCCCACCAGCTTAGCTCCAGGGGCCCATGCAGCCAGCCCCCATCCAGGAATGCGACCCTGGTCCTCTCCCACCCTGGCCTGGCTGACTCTCTCTGAGACTGAGGCCCATCTGCATGACGGGGCTTCCAGAGAGCTCAGGGCAGCAGGCTGCTTTCCGGGGATCCTGAGGGCTCACAACGGACCCACGTGTTTTCTAAACTCCTTCCTGAAGTTGCCTCTGTTGTGTGTCAGAGGCCCGTGGTTCCCACTGCAAATTTTTGAACAGGGATGCTGGGCCCCACCCCTTCCACATCCACCCTACACAGCGCCAGGACCATCGATAGGGCCTAGCCCTGCAACCCCATCTTGGCCACAACACCAGGCCCTACTCGGCCCCTGAGAACTGAGGGGCAGGTCCAGAGATAAGTCCCTTGCATGAGGGCACTTGCATCGGACTCCCTTGGTGGATAGTGACTAACATGGCATGGAAGGAGCCAGGGCAGCTCCCAGCCAGCTGCTCTGCGGTTTCAGATGGTTCCTGGGCTTTAGGAGGTCCTTCTCAACAGGGAAGCTGGATGCCAGAGGGGTGAGCATGGTGTCCTTCCAGCCCTGGCCAGCCAGCAGCATACCCTATGGCCTCTGATTTGACTGGTGGGACAGAGCTCCCAACCAGGGCACAAGTCCCAGGTCCAGAGGGGCCCAGCCTGAACCCCAGCCCTGGTTGGTAGGGGAAGACAACAGCGGTGCCATGGACCTTCAGTCACAGCACGCATCACCACGCAGGGGACAAGGCACAGCTCACCCAGTTGTGCATTTCAGGCCAGAGAACCCTGGCAAGAACTTGTGGCAGGACCATGAGGTGCTGAGCCTATATGGGAGCCTCTTGGACTCTATGAAGGACGGGGACAAGCTGTGCATGGCTCTGCGACTCTATGGCCCCAAGTGGCAGGAGAATCCCTGCCCCTTCCAGTGTACCACCGGCGACACCGCTCAGTAGAACAAGTTCAGGAACATGAAGAGCTTTCTCTCCTGCAAGCTGGTGCCCACGCATGGGCAGGCGCTGGTGCATGGTGCAACAAGCACTTGGACTGGGTAGATGCGTGTCTGGTGACGTTCCCGGCCATCTTTGTGTCCCACCTACCCGAGAAGTGGGCCATGGGCTGCCTCCAGGAGGACTTCATCTTCACGCACAGGAAGGGCCTGATCTGTGGGATCAGCCACGCAGCCGGCTGCCCAGTGCTGGAGCAGTGCCACGTCCTCCAGCACTTCCTGACAGGCCCCTGCAGCACCAACAGAAGACCTGGAAACAAGAGGAACACCTTCTGTATGGCACCGCATCTCTTGAGGAAAGAAAATAAGAAAACTGCCTCCCATCCAAGCAGAGCAGGCCAGCGAGAAGGTGGGCATCACTCTGCGGGAGTGGATGTGAGTACTGGAAGTGGACACGAGATACGTGGCGTGGTCATGGGAGGCGGGTGGTGAGAGAAGGGTGACATGGTGGGTGCCAGCTTCTTTCTGACCCTGAGCACTCCACCACCATCACCCTCGACCTGCAGGAGTGGAGAGCATGATTGACAGCTTCAGATGCTTTCTCAAGAAGGTGGATGACAGCGCTGCTGCTCAGCCACAGGGCATGGAGTTTACGGCAAGCAGGGGATGGGCTTTAAGGAGCATCAGCAGGAAGCCAGCCCTCCCGCGGCCTCAGCCAGGCTTCGGGGTGGGCCCAGCAGGTGAGCCTGCACCAACCCATCACCCTCACCGGGGGTGCCTGCGATGCCATCGGCAAGCTCTTCCCAGATTGGCCCAGGAAGGAGCTAGAACCCTGTTACAGCAGGACCTTTTACTGCTGTCCAGGTGGCACCGCATTAAATTCCCAGACATGCTGAATGTTCACAGAGGAGCTCTTACCAAAATCATGGGGAGCAGCAAAGAGGGAAGACGGAGTGCAGTGGCTGACAGCATTCCGGAGCGCGGGACACGAGTTCTTTGGCCACTTTGGCTGAGATTCACCGTCTCCATCCAATTCGAGGGAGAGACTTGAGATCATAGATGAAGCACTTTTAACCAGAGCAAAAAAAAATTTTTTTTTTCCAAAAATCGACGCAGAATTTGGTAGCAGCTCTTTATAAAGATGGGAGTGTTGAGTGACTGGACGTTGGGTTGGGGACTTTTTCTGGTTCAAGGATAATTTCTACAGCAGCATAAAAACTGCTCTCAAAGAGCCATTGCCAACTATTTGTGGTGGTACAGGATAGTTTTTTGTTCAACTGAGGCCAGGTGAATAGAGAATCATGTGGGAAAGAAACAGCGAATATGGCGTTGCAGTAGAAACAGCCCACGTGTTATGACTTCGTAGGCATCTATACTCAGGAAGCTCCTTCCTTCCTTCTCTCCTTCCTGCTGTCTGCGCCTCCTCCCAGCTTCGGGCATCCCCACAGCCTGGGCCTGTGCTGGGAGAGATATAAAGGACACCACTGGCTGTAGGCCGGGGGACTGGCATGGTCAGGGGAGCGGACCAGTTCTGGGAGCACTGGGTCCAACTGACCAGGCCCCTGCTGACCTGCACCCTATGGACTGGGCCTCTGCCATGACCCAGCCCTCACTGAATGAGCCCTGATGACCAGGCCCCCAGTGACCAGTCCCCACAACGAGGCCCCACTGACCAACTATCACTGGCCATGCCTTACTGAATGGGGCCCTCCTGACTAGGCCCCTCCTGACCAGGTTGTCACTGACCAGGCCCACTGGCAGCTGCCCCATCCCCCAGCCAAACCAGGCTCCCATTGACTGGGTCCATGATCAGTCAGCCAGTGGTCAGGGCTGCACTGACCAGGTCCCTGCTGACCAGTAACCTACTAACCCAGCCCCTGAAGACCAGGTTCGCACTGACCGGGCAAAGACCCCACTGACTAGGTCTTTGTGACAAGGCCCTCACTGTCCCAACTCCACTAACTAGGCCTCATGAACCAGACTTTCACTGGCAACGTCTTTGCTGGTCATGCCTCCACTGCCCAGTTCTCCAGCGATCAAGTCCGTGTGGGCCACGCCCTCCTGACTGAACAGGCCCCCAGTGGACTAGGCCCTAGTGACCAGGCCTGCCACTGAGCAGGTGCTCTGACAAGGTCCTCATGGAAAAGGCTCCTACTGTCAGGCCCCCATTGACTACGCCTCGGTGACTACGTCTCAGCTGACCAGGCCCTGACAATTAGGTTTAATGGACAAAACCCTTGTTGACCAGGTCCTCACCGGCCAGGTCCCCATACATGGGACCCTGACTTAACAGGACCCCACTGACCAAACCTCCACAGACTAGGCCGCATGAACCAAGACCCACTGACCAGGTCCTCACTCACTGCGCTCCAGCTGATGAGATTCTCACTGACCAGGTCCTTAACGACCACACTAGGTCATAATATTGACTAGGACTCACTACCCAGCACCCTAATGACCAGGTCCCAAGTAACCAGACCCCCACTGACTGTCCTAACTGACAAGCCCCCACTGCCAAGTCCAGGTCCCCGCCAACCAGGTCTCCATAGATGAGGCCCCAACTTACCAAGAACTCACTGACCAGAGAGAGACCTCCACTGACTGTGCCCAACTGACAAGGGGCCTACTGACCGGGTCCCCACCAACAAGGCTCCAACTGACCATGTTTTTACTGAGCACACTTTACTGAACAGGCCCCAGAGCCCAGTACCCAGTGACTAGAACCTCACTGACTAGGTCCCGCTGTCAGACCTCAAGTGACCAGGCCTCACTGTCCAGGACACACTCATGAGGCTTCCACTGCCAGGCCCCCACTGAATGGGCCCAGCTGACAAGGTCCCAACTGACCAGTCCTTAACTGACGAGGTTCCGTCTGCCCAAGTCCTTAACTGACGAGGTTCCGTCGGCCCAAGTCCTTAACTGACGAGGTTCCGTCTGTCCAAGTCCTTAACTGACGAGGTTCCGTCTGTCCAAGTCCTTAACTGACGAGGTTCCAACTGCCCAAGTCCTTAACTGACGAGGTTCCATCTGCCCAAGTCCTTAACTGACGAGGTTCCAACTGACTAGTCCTTCATTGATGTGGTCCCAGCTGACCAGGTCCTTGACTGATGACGTTCTGACTGGTCAGGTCTTTAGTAACCAGACCTGGTTACTAATGATTAGGGCCCATTAACCAGGTCCCCAATGCCCCCGAAATTCACTGAACAGTCCCCACTAGCCAGAACCCCAGTGATCAGGCCCCACTGACCAGGCCTCAATTGATGAGGCCTCAACTTACCAGGACCCCAGACCACTGCTGACTAGACCCCACTAGCCAGGACCCCCAGTGAGGCCACCTCTCCTAGGCCCCCGTTGACTGGCCCATATGACAAAACCCCCAGTGACTGGGCTCTAACTGACCAGCTTCTGGCTATGTCTTTGCCTACCAGGCCTCCAATAACCAGGACCCACTGACTAGACCTCCAGTGACCAGGCCTCACTGTCCAGGACCCACGGATGAGGCTTCCACTGCCAGGGCCCCACTGACTGGGCCCAGCTGACAAGGCCCCCTCTGTTGGGGTCTCCACTGACCGGGCCTCAAATGACAAGGTTCTGACTGAACTAGACCTTTACTGACCAGGCCCCCACTGCCTGGGCCCCAACTAATGAGGTCCCTACTGACAAGACCACAGTTGACTGTGTCCCCAGCAGCCACGTTTCACTGACTAGGCCCCACTGACAAGTTCCTCACTCACCAGGTTCCCATTGACCAGGCCCCAACTGATGAGGCCCCGATTTACCAGGACCCCACTGACCAGACCTCCACTAAGTAGGCCTCACTAGCCAGGTCAGATCCCACTGATGGGCCCCCCAATTCCAGACCCCACTACCAAGCCCCCCAATGGCCAAGTCCCCCCACTGAATCCTGAGGTTCTCACCGACCAGGTCCTTAATGACCAGACCTTTACTGGCTAGGCCCCAGTACCCAGGGCCCCAATAACCAGGTCATACTCACCAGGCCCCCACTGACCAGATTTCAGCCCATGCTGACCAGGACACACTGATGTAGCCCCAAGTGGCCAGGACCTCTGACCAGTCTCCTCTGACCACGACCCCTCAGACCAGGTCCTCACTGACAGGTGCCTGTTCATCAGGCTTCCTCTGACTGCATCTCCAAGGATTGCGTCCCCATTGACCAGGCCCCCCACTGACAGGTGCTATTGACCAGGCTGCTGCTGATCAGGTCAGCACTGACCAGATCCCCACTCACAAGGACCTATTTATCAGGCCCTGTTGACCAGGTCCCACATGACTCCACTGAATAGGTTCCACTGATGTGGCCCCAATAACCCAGCTATATTAGTGTGTTCTTGCACTGCCATTAAAAAAAAACACCTGAGACTGGGGCCAGGCACAGTGGCTCATGCCTGTAATCCCAGCACTTTGGGAGGCTGAGGTGGATGGATCACGAGGTCAAGAGATTGAGACCATCCTGGTCAACATGGTGAAACCCCGTCTCTACTAAAAATACAAAAAATTAGCTGGGCATGGTGGCGCATGCCTGTAATCCCAGCTACTCACGAGGCTGAGGGGAGAGAATTGCCTGAACCCAGGAGGCGGAGGTTGCGGTGAGCCGAGATCACGCCATTGCACTCCAGCCTGGGTAACAAGAGCGAAACTCCGTCTCAAAAAAAAAAGAGATCGAGACCATCCTGGTCAACATGGTGAAACCCCATCTCTACTAAAAATACCAAAAAATTAGCTGGGCATGGTGGTGTGCACCTATAGTCCCAGCTACTCAGGAGGCTGAGGCAGGAGAATTGCTTGAACCCAGGAGGCGGAGGTTGCGGTGAGCTGAGATTGTGCCATTGCACTCCAGACTGGGTAACAAGAGCGAAACTCCGTCTAAAATTAATTAATTAATTTATTTATTTATTTTTAAAAATGGCAGTAATAGTAAAAAAAAAAAACGTGTAATTTGTAGTTGCTGTATAATGAAGTAAATTTTGCTGTGTTGTGCGCTGTTTAATATAAAACCTAATCCCCAGCTCTGCTTAAAATTAACTAACTCCTTGTAAAGCCTACCTTATCTATTCCTCCCACATTCTCAGCAAAGTTCCCAGGCATTTCAAAACTCCTGTTTTTCGTGCTGACCAGCTGCAATGTCACAGGGCAAGATAACACCCAAAAAATGTACAATGTGTTTATCAAAATGCTATTTTTCAAATGTAACATACATCACAAGACATGCTGCAAATTAATTAACTGTTCTTTGTTCTAACTTCCATACACCTGTTAGCTGTGACGTCATCCTAAATGTATAAAAGTACCCCATTTTCTTTCTCCGGGGCTTAAACTTCGGATACTAATCTTCTGAGATGGTGGCCACCTTTAGAAAAGCCTCCTAAGGGCCAGGCGCAGTGGCTCACGCCTGTAATCCCAGCACTTTGGGAGGCCGAGGCAGGCGGATCACGAGGTCAAGAGATCAATACCATCCTGGTCAACATGGTGAAACCCCATCTCTACTAAAAATACAAAAAATTAGCTGGGCATGGTGGCGCGTGCCTGTAATCCCAGCTACTCAGGAGGCTGAGGCAGGAGAATTGCCTGAACCCAGGAGGCGGAGGTTGCGGTGAGCCGAGATCGTGCCATTGCACTCCAGCCTGGGTAACAAGAGCGAAACTCCATCTCAAAATAAATAAATAAAATAAAATAAATAAAAGCCTCCTGTTTTACCTATTGGTCTCTCTGATCTCCTAAATATTCTGTAACAGTGTAAACTTTATCACAAGAGCAGCACTAAGGGGATGGTGCTAAACCATTCACGATAAACAGCCCCAATTACTTTCCACCAGGCCCTATCTCCAACATTGGGGATTGCAATTCAACATGAGATTTGGGCGGGGACACAGATTCAAAACATATTGTTCCACCCCTGGCCTCTCCCAAATCTCATGTTCTCCTCATATTTCAGAATATAATCATGCCTTCTCAACAGTCCCTCGAAGACTTAACTCATTTCAACATTAACTTGAAAGTCCACAGTACAAAGTCTCATCTGAGACAAGGCTCATCTTCATTCATTTTTATTTTACAGGCTCAGAGGCAGAAGAGACAAGGCTGGTCCCTTCTACCTCTAACCTCTAAAATAAAAAACTAGTTTGTTATTTCCAAGATACAATGCGGGTATAGGTATTGAATCAATATTCCTATTCCAAAAGGGTGAAATTAGCCAAAAGAAAGGGGCTACAAGCTTCACACAAGTCCAAAACCCAGCAGAGCAGTCATTAAATCTTAAAGCTCCAAAATAACTTCTTTTGAATTAATATCCCACATCAAGGGCATGCTGGTATAAGGGGTGGGCTCCCAAAGCCTTGGGCAGCACCACACTTGTGGCTTTCCAGGGTTCGGCTCCTGCAGATGCTCCCAAGGGCTGGCCTTGAGGACTTGTGGCTTTTCCAGGCTGAGGGTGCAAGCTGCCAGTGGATCTACCATTCTGAGGTCAGAAGAAGAGTGGGCCTCTTTTCATAGCTCCACTAGACAGTGCCCCAGAGGGACTTGGTGTGGGAGCTCCAACCCCACATTTCCCCTCCACACTGCTCTAGTAGAGGTTCTCCAAGAGAGCTCCACTCCTGCAGCAGGCTTCTGCATGGACATCCAGGCTTTTCCAGGAATCTTCCTAAATCTAGGTGAAGGTTTCCAAGTTTCAACTCTTGTACTCTGCACTGCGATAGTAGTGCAGGTCTACTGAACCATCGAAGACCAGGTACATGCCTCCGCCCAGTGTGCTCAGCTCATCCACCAGTGTGGAGCTGGTATCCCATTCTTCATCAGAGTCATCATCACTGCCCTGGCTGGTCTGGCTGAGGTTATGACTACAGGCTTCCCACCCCCACCCAGCTCTAAAAAGCTTGCATGGGCGGCTAGAAGGCCCCTGGTGGTGGCATCTGTGGTAGCTGCAGGGCATCAGGAGGCAGCTTTGAGGAGGTGGGTGCCATGGTGAGGAGGGCCTTGAAGCCTCTGGGTGACACATTGGACTAGCAGGCTGTGGCACCAGGGCTGCTGTCACTCACCAGACCCAGCCTAGGGGCAATGGAGTGAGGCCTTGTCTCTAAGAAGAAGCATTTGGATGTCAGAAAATATTTGTACACTATACATCTCATAATGTGCTAATATCACAAATATATTAAAAAAAAAATAACTCAGGCCGGGCACAGTGGCTCATGCTTGTAATCCCAGCACTTTGGGAGGCTGAAGCAGGTGGATCACAAGGTCTGAAGATTGAGACCATCCTGGCCAACATGGTGAAACACTGTGTCTACTTAAAATACAAAAAAGTTAGCTGGGCATGGTGGCGCATGCCTGTAATCCCAGCTACTTGGGAGATTGAGGCACGAGAGTTGCTTGAACCTGGGAGGTGAAGGTTGCAGTGAGCCGAGATCGTGTCCCTGCACTCCAGCCTGACGGATCGAGCAAGACTCCATCTCAAAAATAAATAAATAACTCATACAATCCAATAGCAAGAAAACAAGTAACTATTAAATATCGGCAAATGACTTGATATAGACATTTCTCTAAAGACTTGCATATGACCGACAAATGCATGAACAAATATTCAAGTTCAATAATCATCAGGGAAGTGCAAATTAAAACCAAAATGAGATGCCACCTCACATCTGTTAGAATAGCTATTTCAAAAAGTTTGAAATGCACTGAGTCTGCATCTTTAACATCTTTGTTTCATTACTTCTTCCGATGTAAGGATTTGGTTTGTTAGTCTTCAGTGTGTCTTTCTTTTTAGCCAGGCATGGTGATGCAGGCCTGTAATCCCACCTACTCAGGAGGCTAAGGCAGGAGAATTGCTTGAATCCAGGAGGCAGAGGTTGTGGTGAGCTGAGATCGCACCATTGCATTGCAGCCTAAGCAACAAGAGCGAGACTCCGTCTCAAAAAAAAAAAGTATAGGCCAATGCTGGAACACAAAGTTGAATCAGGTCAGATTTGTTGATGTGGGCCCTCTAAGCTGAGATTCTATATTTAATGTTGCAGCTTGAAGAAACAAAAAAAGTTCTCCTAGTTTGCTTCACTGATTGACCAAAACATAAGCCAAAACACCACCAGCAGTAACTGAGTTAGAAATGCTGGATCTGGCCAGGTGTAGTGGCTCACGCCTGTAATCCAAGCACTTTGGAGGCCAAGGTGGGCAGATCACCTGAAGTCAGGAGTTCAAGACCAGCCTGACCAACATGGTGAAACCCCTGTCTTAAGTAAAATAAATTTTTTAAAAAAGAAAAAAATAATTAAAAAAATAAAAATAAATAAAAAAAAGAAATGCTGGATCTTCCTTGGTTTGTTATAAATAAAGTGAGTCAAAAGCTTTGAAAGATTTGAATAATTGAGTATACTTCTTATTGAAAACATACTCAACTGAGGAAGATCCAGAAGACATATATAATGTGCTTTGATTCAAGGACACTACTGATTTTATTTTTAATAGTAAAGTGTACACGAATAGTTTTTGGTGTAATCTGGCCATAGAAATACGCTAGATGTCATCATTAGATTTATCGGAACTGTGAGACATACAATTGTGAAAGGAGTCCCAGTGTCTCTGAAGAGCCTGGTCACCACACTCCTCTGTAGGACAGAACTTACAATGAAGACTGTTGCCACTGAAATGAAAAATTTTAATGCAATGGTTAAAACTGGAACCTGGGACTGCAGGATTTAAGTGGCAGCACTCAACTGCAGCTGTGAAAAAATGGTGGGAATGATTATTTAATGGACTACAAAGTCAAAGCACGCAATAAGAACAGTTTGGGCCGGGCACAGTGGCTCATGCTTGTAATCCCAGCACTTTGGGAGGCCAAGGTGGGCGGATCACCTGAGGGTGGGAGTTTTAGACCAGCCTGACCAACATGAAGAAACCCTGTCTCTACTAAAAATACAAAATTAGAGCCGGGCGCGGTGGCTCATGCCTGTAATCCCAGCACTTTGGGAGGCTGAGGCGGGTGGATCACGAGGTCAAGAGATCTAGACCATCTCGATACCTGGTAACATCTCGATACCTGGTAACACTCCAGCCTGGGTAACAAGAGTGAAACTCTGTCTCAAAAAACAAAACAAAACAAAAAACTCCTGGTCTCAAGTAATGCTCCACCTCAGCCTCCGTAGTAGACAGAACTACAGGCACAAGCTACCATGCCTGGCTTCTTTTTAAAAATGTGACTACTAGAAGATTTAAGATTCATATGTGCCTCACATTTTATTCTTAGAGAACTGCCTCCCTTGTGACGTCTCAGGCTGCCTGTTCAAAAGACCGGAGGCCAGGAAAGTGATGAAATCTGAAATTTTAAAATAATTGTCATATTGTTTCCATTCGTGAATAACATTTCTATATTCACACATAAAGATAACCTTATATACAAACTTAAATGCAAATGTTCCCCAGGCAGGGCCAGTTTCCAATGCAGGGAGGAAGCCTTATTCAACCCAGTGTCAGATGACGTCTCCTGTCACTCATGGAGTGGGAGTGGGAATAGAACTGTATCCAATCATGGGCTCTAGAGTGGGAACTATCCAATCAGGTGCGCATCCAGCGAGGAGGGGGCGGTATCCTGGAGCTGGCGGGGCCTTTGTCTCGCTCCAGCCGGAGCTCAGGATCGATCTTCGTTGCTTAGTATCCTCCGCTCTAGGAGGTTCCAGTGACTCTGTCGCAGCCTCTGTGGCCCTGTGACCTGCAGATGCTGTGAGATCCAGGGCTAAGACTCCAGGACATCCCGGAAGCCGAAAAATGGTGAGTGTGTCAGGCCGTGTCCCGAGGTGGGGGCAGGGCTGGTTGAAACCGGCCTGAACCGGCTGTCACGGGACCGGGGCCTCCCCGCTGTCAGCTCTGGCGTCTGCGGAGTTGAGTACCCCAGGCGCAGCTCGGCCCTCGGTCCCCTCCGGCCACGCGGTGCAAGGTGGGCCAGCAGCCGGGACCCTGGGAAGCGCCTCGCGCGTTCTTGCGTCTGTCCGGTTTGCGGGAACAATGGCAGGGTCCTCAGAGCAGAGTCCAGACTCCGTGTGTGGTTTGAGCGTGGGAGGAGTTGTGATCCCGGGGGTCCTTAGTCTAAAACAAAGGGAGTCACTTTAAAATGTTAAAAACTTTATTAAAGTTAACAGTGATTCGTGATCAGAGAGCACCCAGCCACGGTTTGTGGTTTGGGGTGCAGTCGAAGGGCTTGAAGGAAAGATTTCTATAAGGTGCACAAGGAAGCAAACCGAGCTCAGTAACTGACTCATTCCAGTTATGTAGTCATCTTATTTAGACTATTCAGGTTGTCATTGCCTGGTTATGTAATCAGAAGTTAACTGAAGGTTTGTGGTTGCTTAAATCTGAATTTTGTTTCCCCCAAGACAGCAAAAGAAATGTTTTTGCCTTTATTGATGGATTGATTGATTGAATATAGGAACTCAGGGCACTAGACCCGCCTCAATCTAATTGCCTGCTATTTGTTTTCTCCTGCATTTTCCAAATGTGTGACAGTCTCAGATTTACCACTCTGTTGCCCGGGCCTAACTCAGGCTTGCAGCCAAATTTTAAATTTTCTGTTCTTTCCTGACATTCTTCAACACCAACTTCCCCTCTCTAATTCACAACATTATCAACTATTAGTCCTTTTTTGTACATTTTAGACACGGCATTTTGATTAGTCATTATTTCAAAGAGCAGTGGATGGCATTTCTTAAAAAATTATTTTTCATTTGCAAACATTTTACAGTAGGTGAAAGGGGAGAATAATCCCGACACTCCACTGTAAAAAAAAAAAAAAAAAAGGCCAGGTGCAATGGCTCACGCCTGTAATCCCAGCCCTTTGGGAGGCCAAGGTGGGTGGATCACCTGAAGTCAGGAGTTTCAGACCAGCTTGACCAATAAGATGAAACCCGTCTCTACTAAAAATATAAAAATCAGTGGGGCATGGTAGTGTGCGCCTATAATCCCAGCTACTTGGGAGGCTGAGGCAGGAGAATCAATTGAACCTGGGAGACAGATGAGCTGAAATCATGCCACTGCACTCCAGCCTGGATAACTGAGATTTTGTCTCAAACAAACAAACAGACCAAAAACTGAAACCTTTGTGCTGATCTCCCTTTAATCTTCCTAGGCACGGATACTCATCAGAATATTTTTGAGTTGAGGTTCCACTTTGGAAACTTCACGGGGCAGGGCATCCTCAGCCGCCCTGTGTTATTTTGCTGGTTTTGAGTTTCAGAACTGTCTGGGGATGACCGGAGATGCACACAATGACTCTGTCTCCTGAAGTGTCTGGTAAATATCAGCGCCTGGGTCATCTCCTCTCAGAGGCAGCCTTAGGTGTGGGAATGCAGCCTCTCTGTCCAGTAGTTGGTGCACTGTGCCTGGGAGAAATCAGGCATCCTTTCCTCTAAAAGTAAATCTCTTAGGACATAAAGAGCTTCTTCCCCAACCCCAGTTTCCCTTCCTTAGAGATACAGTGCTGGCCAGGCAATTGGATTCTGGTGTTGAGGAAAAAATTTTCACAGACTGGTATAGAGAGAAAAAATATCCCCAAGGACAAGGAACGCCCAACCCAGTGAGGATTTTGGGGCACAGCACAGTGGCTCTTGGTAGAATGGTTATTGACTACTTCAGTGAGCAGATGGGGGTGGGATAATATCCCAAGTGACAGAATGGCTTGACTTGACATAAAAGTCACATATATGTCTGTGTTCCAATCAGCATTGCCCCTTCCTGAGTTTGTCACCTTGGAAGGATTTTTTTTTTTTTTTGAGACGGAGTTTCGCTCTTGTTACCAGGCTGGAGTGCAATGGCCCGATCTCGGCTCACCACAACCTCCGCCTCCTGGGTTCAGGCAATTCTCCTGCCTCAGCCTCCCAAGTAGCTGGGATTACAGGCACGCACCACCATGCCCAGCTAATTTTTGTATTTTTAGTAGAGACAGGTTTCACTATGTTGACCAGGATGGTCTCGATCTCTTGACCTTGTGATCCACCCGCCTTGGCCTCCCAAAGTGCTGGGATTACAGGCGTGAGCCACCACGCCCGGCTGGAAGGATTTCTTTACTTATTTTAACTTCAGTTTTTAGTTAAGTGTAAATTGTATTTTATCGGTAGAGCTTGAAAGGTAAGAAAATATAAAGGGGCCAGGCACGATGGCTCATACCTGTAATTCCAGCACTTTGGGAGGCCAAAGCGGGCGGATCAGGAGAGATTGAGACTATCCTGGCCAACATGGTGAAACCCTGTCTCTACTAAAAATAAAAAATACTATATATATGACATTAAGGTGGTGCATTTCAGGAAAAAAATTAAGTAGTAATATATTCCATTTGTTAAAAATTGTTATTTACTTATTTCTTCACCAGAATAAGGATGGTAAGTTTCTCAGTCCTACATTCTGTTTGTTTGGTGGGTGGGGTGGGTGATTGCAAACAGAATCTCAGGGCTTTGGGAATGTTACCAGTAAAAGGATAGGGAGAATCTTTTTTCCATTATGGTGTGGCAGTAGGAAATGAATACATTTCCACAACAAACTGTGCTATATTAATTATCAAATTACACAGATTCATAACAACATCAGTTGTTCCTTTTTGCAGAGTAGAGAATTTATGACAGTGAATATCTCTATTCTGTATGCCCTTATCTGGATGTTTGAGGTTAAGGCTACATTTTAGGAGGCGAGACTTGGTACCTCCTTGAAGTATTCACATAGGGTTAACTGTTTACTAAATTATTTGTTATCATGGAAATAATTTACATGATCATTTTCTGAAAGGGGTAGATACTTTGGCTTTTCTTCTTGGAGTATAAAATGTAAGTGCCTTACAGTTTTCCTTTCTTTTTTATAACCCTAGGTTTGAGTGATTCTTGCTAGATTTTTTTTTTTTTTTTGAGACGGAGTTTCGCTCTTGTTACCCAGGCTGGAGTGCAATGGCGCGATCTCGGCTCACCGCAACCTCCGCCTCTTGGGTAACAAGAGCCTCCTGAGCAGCTGGGACTACAGGCACGCACCACCATGCCCAGCTAATTTTTTGTATTTTTAGTAGAGACAGGGTTTCACCATGTTGACCAGGAAGGTCTCGATCTCTTGACCTCATGATCCACCCTCCTCGGCCTCCCAAAGTGCTGGAATTACAGGCGTAAGCCACCACGCCCGGCCTAGATTTTTAAAACACTTATTTTTTAAATTTAAAACTAAATGAATGAGCCTGGCTGGGAAGTAGAAGTCTAAGCCCAGTGACTCCAAGCTAAGCCCAGTCTTGAGCCTGCAAAAGGGGGTCATTGAAGGTCCATTTGGTTCCTCCCTGGCCTTCAATATTAGACAAACGTCCCTGCGGGTCCCAGCTTGCTCACACCAACCATGGAAGGAGCCTTTTGTGCTGACACAAGATATATAAACCTGGTAAGCTGGAAGTCCTCAGGCAGATGCAGTTAGGGTTGAGATAGAAGGATAGCTGAAAGGCCCTTACTAGGTTGGAATTACTGTTGTGGGACTGTTTATAGACTTTGTCAAATAAAACTAATTTGGATTTACATAAGAAGTTACTTAAGGAGTATTGCAGCAGAGAATAAGTACCAACTATGAGATCTTTGAGGATCTCAAAGGTTAGGCGGAAAGAGGGATTATTTCATTGGGAGGAGCAAACAAGATTCCAAACAAGGTGGAAAGGGAGGTGCAGGATGGAGGGTAACAAAATCAGATCCCAAATCAGAGAACGCTTCACCCTGAAGTCACTCTGTTTTTAGGAGGGCCATAAATAGGGGTCTTGTGTTCACTTAGGCTTTGGGTGGGTCAAAGTTCAGGGGCCTGTGGGAAAGAAACATAAGCAAAGTTTGCTTAACAAGTATTTTGTTTTGACCACTGAAGGCTAAGTTACTGAGGTGATTGTTTATATAAACAATGGGAATTTGCAATCGATGTCCGTCTTTGTGATATGTACAAATGGGAGTATCCTCTAAGTCGTAATGGGAAGGATATTTCTCTTCATGAAGCTGTTCCTGGAGAACACACAAAAAACGGGGAAGTTCTTTAATCACAATTATTTCCAGAATTACCACCTACCCACCTCATTTTTCCCTACCACTGTTTCTTGCTCTATACATCTCTTCCATTTGGCTGTTCTTGAGTGGTATTTTTAAATAATAAACTGGTAAAAGTAAGTATAGTGCCTTGCCTAGTTTTGTGATTAGTTCTATAAAATTATTTAACCTGAAGAGAAGGTCATGGGGGCCTCAGATTTATAGGCAGTAGCTCAGAAATATAGATGGGCTTCTGGGACATGTGACTGTCCTCTGCAGTGACAACGGTGATGTACGACTGAGCCCTGCATCTGCGGGGTGTGTGCAAACTGAGTAGTGTCAGAATTGAAATTTTGGGCATCCAGTTAGTATTGGAGAATTAGGTGGTTTTCAGGAAACTCCACACATTTGGTGTCAAAAGTGTCGTCAGAAGAAAGATTGCAGGGGCCTGGGGTGGAGAGAGACTCGAGGTGTTGCAGGGAAGGTGGCCTCTATTCTGGACAGAGGCTGTTACACCATGCATTTCCCATGGTTCCAGGTGTCCTCCCAGGGTGAGAGGGATGGAGGACTTTGAGGGAAGAAGTTCTGAGAACAGATGCCCCCACAACTGCTGCCACCCCATGATTTTCACCCTCTCTGAACATACCCACTAAATATTTCTGTGATCATGCCCCTCCCAGCACAGGACTTCCCCTTCAGGATTTTTGCTCCTAGACTTTTTTATTTATTTATTTATTTTGAGACGGAGTTTCGCTC